TAAATAATGTGCTTGCTGGGAATTTGTAGCATGGTTTACATGGATCATGTAGCGATGGTTCAATGAAAAAAAAATGAAGTTTACTATAAAAAGTGTCTATGTTATGCCACATTAATAAAATCACGTAATTTGATAAAAGGAAACCTCCGACATGACATGGTTACAGATTATGTGCATACATATAATTGCATTAACTTTGTAGTCAGTACTGCTGTAGTTAATTTTGTACTAATGGGGTTGATTCATTTGTAATTCTAATTGTACTGACCACTTAAATTGAAATACTGAAGTTTTCCCTTATATTGGTAAAGGTAAGCTCTTAAAATTTTAGTTATAAATTTATATACTTTGAAAGCATTCATGAAAAGTTGATTTTAAGTTTGCCCCCCCCTTTCCTAACACACACACACACACAACCGAAAATGTTGAAAATTATTGAAGCGAATTATTATTGTACGGGTTCAATAATTATGTGTAATGCAATGTTCAAGAACATTTTCCTGGTTGGGATAAGAATGTTATGAATATTAAGTGGTATAAGAGTCAAATTAGTTCCTCAGTAAATGTAGTCTTTTTATAAAAAAAAAAATACAACTCTGATACAGTCTGTCTTACAGTCCGGTATGTCGAAAGAAATTATCTGCCAATATTATCGTTAAATGATGTCATAGGTGGTTGATGTGTCGTCTATGTAGCAACATGTAGTGCGGGTCACTGCGGGATTATCAGTCAGGAAAGCAGATACAAGTGGTGAAATGTTACAAATGGTAGCGAAGGAGGTGAAAGAGTTGTTTTAACCTTTTTATAACAATACGCATTATGAACCTAACTTTTTCTGTATTTTACCCTATAATTGTGAGCTGGCAATGGATAATTATGTACATATGGTGCAACATTAACAGAAATTATAGACAAATTCATAAACCAATCAAGTTTGAATGAAAAATTCTATTTTTTGAACCCACGTCTGTTTTTCCCTAAAAAAAAGTGTTTTTAAAAAGTCTGGTTTGTCTAAAATAGCTGTCCTAATATGCAAATAAATTTTTGCAATATTACCGGAAGTTGAAAATTCGCACATTTATTTGCATTCCTTGTATTTTCTGGCTTGAAGTTTAGATAAATGTGAAACTGTTTAAAAAACATAATGGAGGCCACACAAATGTTGCGTTACTCCACAAGTTACTGGCAGAGTATGATGCTTAATAGGATGTCAGTCATTAATAAACTCGGTAGATTAAAAGCACTGATATCAGAATCGGATGTGAGCATGGAATTCTAAAAACCTTATAAATGCAACATGATTTGGAGAATGCCCTTCAAAAACAGGAACGCGTCTCATAAATTCACGATTGTAAGTGGTGAATATTTCTTTGCACATACAATAACCCCAGCTTTATGTATTCATTTATGAAATGCACTTGAAAAGAAGCTTTGATTTATAAGAAATTTTTTCCGTTTCTACTTCATTATGGCGGAAAAAGCATTACAATACATGTACTGTAAGGAAAAGATGAGTGTTTGGTTTGTGGTTTCTTATCTCCAATAAATCATGTCCTATATCACTGGTTGAATTGGGAGTACCGGTACATTATAAGGTCGCCTATTGTATGCAGTGATATAGGCTGCATGTGATGTCTTGCTTTGAACTGAGGTTTGCGATAATTGAGGTTTGTGATCTCTTTTCTCCAGGGAATTGCATTAAAGCCATAACTGAAAGGTCAAAACGACTTTGTGGTGTTGTGTAACTTGTATACACACTAGTCAACCAAATTAAAGTATACATGTATACTTTAATTCGGTTGACTAGTGTGTCTACAACATGAAATCAAGATTTCGTTTTCACTTGGCAAATGTCGTGAATGATCTCCAATTATGATCATGTTAGTTTTCTTTTGAAGGAAAGGTTTATTCTTGGTTTCTTTAGAGCAGACTATAATCATATGGCTGGAATTTCTGTGAAAACTAACATTTTTAAATCGTTTCACTGTTTTGTTATGAAATATGCATGCATAATACAGGACATGCTGAACATGGAACTAATTTAGTCTTTTAGCCATAAAAAATTTTAAAATGTTAAAATAATGTTCTCTAATATCTTTATGTACTGGTAGTCTCCATTATTCTCTCAATTATCGTGAATATAGCGTAAAACATTGTTTGTTGTTGCTACAGGCAGAGTACAAATCATGCAGTTTTTATGTAGGTTCATGTCGCACTCGTTTTATAGTAAATTTTAAGTGGTTTGTTTTCAGGGAAACCAGGAAATGCATATTCTCCCTCCAGCAACTCATCTGCGACATTTTTGGATTTTAAAAGATTTTATGTTAACTGTGGAAGTTGAAGGTCTTAAGTATCATTTGTGGAATTTATCCTCAATTATTTTATTCTGTGTCAGGAAATTTCTTTATTACATTATCTCTGTACCATTTTGTATTGAATCGTTGATCAGCTTTTATTACTAATTATCACCATGGAAACGTGCATATCCCATATCAGATGAGTTCAAAAATGCAATGAACATGCAATTACTTAAAGCCTTGATTATCTGAATATATTAGTGTAGTTATCTCACTCCCAGACAACCTTTAGTTTCTGTAATTTGTAAAATGTTAGGACTGTTATAAATTGCTTATCTGCCAAAAATTTGTGTTTCTCAATTAGGCTGTTTTGAAGAAAAATGACAAACTGTGTGCAATCAAAGTTGGTCAGCTGAAAACATATTGTGCAGATTAGAACTTCTTGATCTCCATAGCAACGTTTCACAATGCCATATTACCATAGCTGTATCATGTCCATTTGGTCTAAAATTGTGAATACATAAAAAAAATGTAGCACTAACATTAAAAGATGAAAAATCATTTCATCTTCACTTTTATCATGTGTAGTTTATTTATACAAGTTTATCAACTCATGAAATTTTGATTTGATCGATAAAACTCAATAGTGTAAAATTTTCTCGTATCTTATAATATCCCCAGGCAACTTAAAAGACAATATTTTATTTTTCTGAACAGATTATCAAAATTATGAATTTAAAAACTTTAAACCAATTTGTCAGTTTTTATATTTGATTTGCATGTTGACAATTCTAATGGCTTTTAATTTTGAACCTGACAGTCAAAGTGGAATGTTACTGGATACTGTTCAATACTTTATATAATAGCTTGAATCAATGTTTGTTGACAAAAATTTTGGGATGTTTTGTATGGAATATATTTTCCTGATTTTTGAGTTGAATGTAATCTATAGAGGAAAAAAAAAATATTGACCGGGTTTTAATGCTGCGGCTTTCGGTTTCTTCTGAAGCTTGTCTTAGTCAGCAAAAGTAGTTGAATTTCAAGCATACATGTTTTGGTGGTTGTATTCCGAATTATTCGTCATGAACCCAATCGAGTTGATTTTAAATAGGGACTATATTGTTGAACGTGGTGGAAGTTGCAATGGCATTTTCACTATCAGAAATTTTGTACAAATTGTTACTAATTTGCCATAGTTTCCCCCCCCCCCCCCCCCCCGCCCATTCTTCAATGTAAATTGATATCTTGATGAAAGTTTGATATTTTGCCCATAGTTCATTGAAATAAATAATCAAAATGTCAAGTATAATTTTGAGATAAAATCCCAACTCTGTATTGATTTCGCGATGACCGTTTCAATGCTCCTTGTACCAAGCTTTGTATCTACTTGTAAACAGAAGCTTTCCTTAAAGGGGCATTAATGTCTTTTTAGGCTCTATCACTAATTTGCCTTGTTGATGTACTGGTATTCATTATTTTGCTGATAACCTTTTCACCTTGCCATTGTGATTTATAATGTGGGGTGGGTATATTGAGATTACAATACTGTCTCTTGTATACTTACTGAGCCGTGTAGGATGTTATTGCTCATGGACTGTTAGTGCAAGTGCAGACCCTGTGTTTAGTTTTAATATTATGCTTTAGAAGTACATGCTCTGTGTTTAAAAAGGTTTGAATATTAAGTTTGTTTTCATTCAAAAGGGAATTGTACTATTATTTGTAAAGCATCGCTGATTTTCCTTCCCAAACGGCTTTTATTAGAATCCCCTAATGACTTTCATCACCTTTCACATTTGGCAGTTTGTTAATTACTGCAACTTCTTACTCTATTCCACCTGAAAGCAAATGCCATGTTGTATGAACATATTTGCAGTGTTCCTCGCCAGTTGTAATGTTTGTGTGCGTAATAAAGTGCAGGGGGTCATGAACCACAAAAACCTGTAGATTTCTATCGGATTTAACATAAACATTACCGGTAATATCAGTAGGGTAAAACTAACCTGTCTCACGACGGTCTAACCCAGGTTCAGCAAGTACAACTGTATGAATACTGGGAACAAGTGTTAAGTTACAATGCATGTTTCTATGGGGAATACATACTTTATATCTTCACTATTGTTAGAGATGTTTACTTTAATGTAAATCAGATAAACCTCAAGCGAAATACTCGTTTATACCTATTGCTAACCCTACTATTCATCCATGATCAGGCCAAGTGTTGTATGTGTGCCAATGTTAGCCATATACCATTTAACTGCTATACAGAGAATTTTTTTTTTTATTCATACCAGTAAGAAAGGTTGAACCCTCTGGATTAACAACTTTTTTGCTGATAATGTCCAGGGGTTATTCTATAAAAAAATGAGGGAGCACACCACTTAAGAGTAATTATAGGTTGTGAAATCTCAGACATTATGAACTGTTGAGCAGAGGGCGCAAGTCCTGGGCATGAGGGCGCAAGTCCTGGGCATGAGGGCGCAGTTCCCCTGTCTGGAAGAACCTTTGATATCATCTTCAATGATAAATTCATGCTCAACTTGGAACTTGGTTTTATAATATGCAGATTAATGAGCAGTGTGAATATTAACAAGTATTGTGATCATGTGAATATTGATGAGTATAGTAAATTGTGTTCCATACTATTGAAAAGCAATTGATGATTTATGAACAGTAATATTTCATAAATTCGTTTTTCTTCTTCAGGAAAGGAATGCAGAAAGTGCGATTGAAGCATTGAAAGAATATGAACCTGAAATAGCTAAAGTGATTAGACAAGGCAAAATAGGAGTACAGCGCATCAAAGCCAAGGAGCTTGTACCTGGTGACATTGTAGAAATTTCAGGTCAGTTCTCTCTTCTTTAGGGTGTAGTATTGTTGTACAGACACTGACAATGCACTGTCCCTGTTTAGATGCATTCACTATTTAAAAATAGAATAGGTGGATTTTCATTGGTCAGTCAGCATCACATGACTGTTGTATCCAGAATTCATACCGTAGAATACTCGTGACAAATTCCCAAAGTTTCAAATCCATGCAATGATATTCCCAGGATTCCAGCTATAAAATTATTCCAGTCTACATCCAACTTTTGCTTGTACTTGACCACTAAGTCTCCATTAAAATAGTGTGTATTTGGAATGAATGCAAGTCAATTACAGTAAAATTGGTTAAAAGTTTGTATCACTTTTACCATGCATGTGTTTCTTGTTGAGGTGCACTTTCAATATGTCACTTTCTACCGCTTTGCTGCCCTTCCAAACATGTACTTCAGACCCCTCAGGGTGAAAAGTTTGTTGGCCAAAATGTATTCTATCAAAAAGTTAAATGCAGTTTTGATGATAGCTTAGGAACACTTGATACTATACCATATTTGCTCTATTAGTAGCACACATGCTTGTGTAAATTTGAGGCATTTCTATGGTCATAAGTAAAATTTGATGATTCAGTACACAACAAATCCAATTTTGTTGTTTTTATGTGCTTCTATTAGAGTAAATGTTTTTCATCTTGACAGACATTTTACTCATTGACTGAAAAAAGCCAGCCTGTCATGTTTATGAAGTCCATCCACTCTAATGTAAAGATCTAGGCTTCTGTCTCAGGGCTCTGTCTTAGTTTCAACCACTTGGTGGGAGTAAGATACTTATCCCCCCACCTCCCCCAGGGTTTCAATCTTCAAAATATACAACATGGTGCTTGTATTACTGAACAGATGGTTAGTATGGCATTTAAATTGCATTCACCAGTCCAGTGAATCTACTATGCCCTGACATTTCATTCTGGTATGTGATGTAAATGTTATGCTTATGCAGGGAGTTGATGAATAAGCAGCCTTAAGAACCTCCCTCTTATTCACCCTCTTGTTTTACCACATTCTTCGTGTTCATTTAATGTTTTGAGAAATTGATTGTAAATTAACACAGTAATGATGAATACTATGCATTTGCTTAATATTAGTAGTGCTTAAATGACAAGTGTGTATCTAGTCATATTTCAATGTTTCAATAAATTCCTAATACAGCAAAATTGTTATTTCCCTTTAGTGTTGTTGAGTATCAGTTGGTGTTGTATTTTGGTCTAGTTTGCATTTTTTGTAAATTGGGAATATATTTAAATGGTCAGTTCAGGTTTACAGTGTTCCAACCCAACTTTTTTCGAATGTATGCACATATTGACATGTAGATGACAGGGTTTGAATTGTCTTCAGATTATGGCAATTCAATGCACTTTCTTGGTGTCAACATGGTTCTAATAAAAACTCTCACCAGCTGGACCACTGTCCTTGTATAGTGGCTCAGTTAGTGAATTCATAAATTACCTTTGTTCTGAAATATAACATGCTGATCCCTGGGTAATGTGTGCAGATTATTATTAAAAAAAAAAAAACTTTCATGAAGGTTAATTGTTTTAAAAATGCTTGAGTAAAACACTAATGTATCTACCATTCCCATCTCATATTTTAAGGCACCTACCATTCCCACTTCGCGTTTTAATGTACCTACCATTCCCTGCTCTTTTTTTTTTTAATTTAAATATATCGTCAATTTGTTAACCATGTGGTTGAGAATATTTTATTTGTGAAGCTAAAGTGAGAATAGGGGAGAATATACTCGAGATAATACAAACCAACATGGTTCCCATAAAGTGTAATGGAAAGGTCAAGCACATTGCGCTCCGCCTCTAAATTTATTAAGGAAATCTGGTGAAGTGATGTTCACTTGTAAACTGAGATGTGGAAAGGCTCAGCAATGCCTGGTATGCTCTGTGGTATGCATGCTGAATCTGAGCCCCCTAAGTGAGTGATATTTTCTATGCAGTAGCAAAAGCAGTTTGTTGTATTATTTATTCACTGTTATATCAGCTTTTCTGATTGGTGGATTTTCTATCCAATTATATTGCTAATATGAGTATTGTTCAGGAGTTAGTTTACAATGAAAATATATTGAAATGCTTGCATAACTAGAAACAGATATGGCCACCCTTTACAAAGTTTAATGACCTAAACTTATTGAATAATTTTTGTCGCAGGATAACTTTGGTGATGAGCATCTTGGGTAGTTATTGATCAGATTACCGGCCCTAGCTGAAGTAGAAAGTCAACAGAAAGTTGTATGGAAATTAGAACAAATGTCCAGTATCTCGATGTGATACTGTGATCTTGATATTGTGAGGAGGGCTTCAGGATTGGATATTGTGTTGGCATGTTTCAATTTCAGTTCTTTTGCTTCTTATCAGGCTGACTTTGAGGTAGCTTATCAGTCTTTTCTGCATGTATACAATGATGAGCGCCTGACTGAAGGACATAAGAGAAAGAGAACACTATCTTATCATACTTGTTGTGTAATAATTCCTGAAGAGTGTATTGAAAGAACTGCATTGTCCCATTCAACACATTACTTGCTCAAAGCCTCCACACAAAATGGTGTATGCAAACCATGTGTTAAATTTCTTGACTTGCCAACTTAAAAAGCTTAAATCTTGAAAATTACTTCGGCTCAATGAACACCGAGGTCTATTCTTGTGTCTGTTCACAAAATAAACATGCATACCCCCCGCCCCCCATAGTTTTAATCAAGATATGTAACCAGTGGAAGATAATATCCACTTTGTTCAAAAAGAAATAGAGAATGTGTAGAAATGTGCAAAATTATTGGTATCGCAATTTTATTTTTGCCATGTGGTCTTTGAATTAATGCCTTGACACAAGTTTGTTTCCCCTTGTGTGGATGACTAGGTTTCTTGTCTTTTGTATCCATAGCAACTTAGTAGATAGTTGCCATGCAGCTCACTAAATATACATATTCCTTCATTGTATTGAAGTATGTGACTATCTTGCATGAAGCCCCCCTCTTGGGTCTCATCTATGTAGTGAATCTGTTGACAGTGTCCTCTAACCATTCTATCATTTTTTATAGAAAAGATTTCATCAAATTTTACATTTCATTATTTGACTGAATTTTTGTTCAAAATCAGTAGTATGGTATGTTAATCCGTTTCGTCTATGATTACCAAAAATATATTTGTAAAAGTGAGTAAAAATGCATTTGTCAAAATCAAAGTGAGATTTAAAAACATGTGGTGTTTTCAGTTCTCATCTGTAGAATAACAGTGCATTTTCAATTTGTCATAGTTAGACCAAAAATGAACAAATGAATGCGTTTCTGGGTCTTGAGATGGAAAAAAGTCATTCCATCATTCATGCTGTGCTATTACAAATTCAGTGTTCTGTCTAAACCCTCCTTTTTACACAACTGTTTAATGACACGACAGTCTCTCTTGTTAATTGTGTATATTTTGGGCAATTTCAAGGCCCAAAATGCAGTGGATTGATTGAAATTGTCAAGGAAATGCTTGAGGACTATTTTGACTTCAGAACAGTTAAAAATTTAAATTTACTTGGGCAGCAATACTTCATCTGGAGAGGCTAAACCTCACTCTGATGGCCCCTCACTGCAGATTTTATGTGTTATTTTCCATAATAGTGTGCGTAGTGCATCCTAGTTTTCTATGGTGACCAATTTTATCGAATTTGCGACTACTCTACCCTTATTTTTCACATTAGAGACCTTAGCCTTGCTTAGAGTCGATTTGTCTGTGCAATTGTCTAAAACAATATTTCGTTAAGATTACGTCATCTTTAGGGGTTGTATACTTGAACAAGAAAATAATGTTCAAAATCACAGCTATTGACGCTTTAAATGATTTTCCCATATTTATTTTCTGGCTTTTTCATAATCTGTTTACTTGTCTTGTATTTACTTGTTACCATGGTTACCACCTACATACGTTACTATCCATTCTGTTTCACAAGACAAATCTGAAAAATTGAAATGAAAAATCTAGTTGTGACAATTTTACAGATAGCACTGATTTTTGGTACAACACAGCAATAATTTACCAGTTTGTATACATGTATACGGTAATACATTTAAATTGTATTTCATCTCCCAAAGACCATTTGATTCACCATCAGAGATAAAATGCACATTGGCTGTCAATCTTATGAACATTGAATTCCCAGTATAGACCACCTTAGCATTATAATTCAAAATAATGATGTATTCGAAGAAAAGTTCATACAGAATGTCAATCAATTTAAACTAATGTATATTGACTAATTCTAGTTGTGAAAAACATGGAATCTATAATATAAGTTTTCAATATTCGAAGAAGTAGTTGACATCATTCGTGTAAACTTCGTGAAAAAAGTCTGAAACTGTCTGAATAATTAGATTAAATTAAATATTAACCCGCTGAACTGTCAAAGGTCAACTTTTGGCACCTTCACAAAATGTACAATTGTACTATAAGAATCTTTTCGATATATATTTTAAAAAACGTTGATAAAACTCTGCAGGCAATGTAAATTTGCCTTATTTGGAAAAAACAGTGGTGCTCGTACATGTAGTTCTATAAATTAAATTTAAACTAATAAATAAAATTATTTAGCTACAAATATATTCATGTAGATTCAGATTATTTTTCCTCCCACTGATTTCCTGTTTGTATGATGACTGCTAAATTAATAACTGTCACGAAGTCGTATAATTGGTAATAAAATTGCCGAGTGTTGAAATTAGATGCGGAAATATGTGTTATTCCGGAAATGGGGAAAATAGTAATTCTAAGATGCTTATATATTGATCTTTAAAAGTTGTGGCCTTTGTACTTGTTTTTGTGTTAGTTCTCCAAATTGATGAGCAGCTTCATTGAATTTATTTATTTCTTATTGAGCTGTAATCATTGCACGACTAGTCAGGTCATTGTCCCCAGTAGCTCATAAGATGCATGTAGTTGAAATCATTGCCTGCATTACTAGTGTCATAAAAATTCAGTTGTGTAGCTCTTGCAGTGAGATGGCAGCAGGTCAGACCTGGCATTGTGAGATCACTTCCCTGTGTTGCTACCACAGCGAGACGGGGCCAAGCATGCATATGTAGTTACTTGTAGATACATGTATGGCGAGCTAAAATCAAAAAGCTATGTAGTGGCACAGTGAGATGGAACAGGCAAGTCTCTTGCATAGCTAGCACAGCGAGATGGAGCAGACGAGTCTATGGCATAGCTGGTGAGACAGGGGGGCAAGTCATCTCCTGCATAGCTACAACAGTGAGGTCGCTCCCCTATGTGTGGCCAAGTATGCATACAGTATACAAATGTACATGTATACTAAGCATTGTGAGCTTAAATTCATTCCTGTGTGGCTACCAGCATGTCTGCACACATTGGCCGCTACAGATGTGCATCTTTGGTGAATGTTCCTAACCCTAAATTTTATGTCTGGTTGAAGATCAGATTAGATCCATCTTGCACCACAAGTTTGGTGTTGAGAATCGCCAGTTTAATAAACTGAATTTATTGGATTACAAAAATAAACTGTTGCGTACGAAATCTTTAAGAAATGCTCTCCTTTTCAGTCGGCACTGTACATTTCCCCTGTGGAGCACATCCTTAGCTGAGTTCATCCATGACATCATGGTTGCCATGGTGATAACTGTTATAATTGTTAGTGTAAAGGAAGTAAATGTTAAAGCTTATAGTTGCTTATACATGTTAATTGAGAGTATTTTTTATAATTGCAGTTTTTATCAAGAATTGCGTGCATGTATGAAAGAAAACATTCAAATATCATCATCAGACAAAACTGTATTGTGCTGATGTGTAATAAATTGCATCAGCTGTAATTTAAGTTGCATTATTTTCTCTGAACAGCTTAGTGTTCAGGGGGTGCTACTTCAAAGACTGCCAGGCATAGTCACATGTGCTTCTTAATGCTCTTATAAAGCTAATGCTATATCCAGAAAACCCTGCTATTAATCAGGCAGATTTTCTTTTATGAATAGAAGATTTCTCAATGTTTGGGATAATCAGCAAGGAGACAGTTAAGAAAGGAAATAGAGCCCTCCATCTTCTGTGTTGTCCTGTTAACTCAAATACACTAATTCAAATCGACGTCTGGGGAAAAAAAATCCTTTTTGCATGAAATAATTAAAAAGGCTACCCTTCAGCTGCAGATTCGTTTCATGCTGAATATATTCAAAGGTGTTTCTAGTGTCAGGTCACCCTTGATAATTAATATTCAAATTTATCGAAGATCAATACAGCCACACAATTATCGACAGATTGCAGAAGACAAGCTTGCTCATCCATTGTGGAGTCGCAGTAGATAGATATAAATCGAATAATGAGTGATTCTGATTAATTCACAGAACATGGATTTTCACAAATTGTCTTTGTCCAAGTTGAAATGTTTACTTACATTGATTATAAATTATGATTTATTGA